AAAAAATGTAAAAGCCCCATAAAACTCAAATAAAAAAACCCAAAACCAAAACAAAAACCCCACAAAACAAAAAACCTGGATTTGTGCAGTGAAATTTTTTTTAATTACTCTGTAGCCATTTTCTGCATCATGATCAATAGAAAATTACTTTCTTTTCTGAGACTTGGTGTAAAGTGAACTTGCTGTGTTATATTTAGGAACATAGGAATCAACTTACTCATTTAAACTTAGGGTCCACCTAGTTCATCATCTAAGCTTTAACAGTGGCAGGTGTCATACTTTAGGAAGATGCAATTATGGAATAATTTTGAAGATTTCTTTATCATCTATGTTACAGATTAATTCAAACCCACATAGTGAGGATTCTTTTTCTTCATTTATATTGTGAGTGATTTTTGTGTGTACATATATTCATATGTATTTTAAAAGTTTTGAATTTTTTTGTTACTGGACTATATATATGTATTTTACAGATACATACGTATTATGACGTGTATAAATAGATATATCAGCATTACTCAATGACAGCAAATTTCCCAGGCTAATTGTGCGTACGTAAAGTCTTCTATCTGTTTGAAATCTGCTTTTAGTTTAAGAATCTATATTTTCCTTCCTTATGTGAAAGTGTGAATGAGTAGAAAACACCATTTGTGTTTTCCTTATCATTAATTTTTTGTGTTCTTCCTTTACAGTTTTAGTTACATCCTTTATTGTTGTGTTGAATACTATGGATACTATATGAATATGATATAGAAAGTCATACCATTGCTTTGCATTAAAAATCTCATTTTCTAGTTATTTTTTTATTAGCTTACTAGTAATGACAGTAAGAAGCATTTAGCTTTGTCATGAGTCCTGTAGAAATGCAGATAGATTATGTATTTTGTCTACATTATACTTGAAGGAAATTTACTAGTCAAAAACTGGATGGCTTTGAGAGCAACAGCTATGTAAAAGGAAACTGCTGATTTTATGCAGTGTCCACTATTGGTGGTTACTCCAGGCATATGTCTGTTCTAAATCAGCCAGCTTGCATAATATTAAGGTGGAGGTTTTGAGTCTTTCGTAATTGTAGTTCTCTGAAAATTTTCCAGTGAAGCTATACCCTACTGTATAACAAACTTCAGTGCATCAACGACAGACTTGATTTTCCTAGTTACTTTGTGGGGCCGCTTAGAGTCTGTGGAGTGTAATCTGTGTACTACTTGGGTCTGGGGTTGAACATCACTGCACTTCAATATGTTTATAAAAATCCAATGCTTGATCCTAAAATACCATTGCTTATCTATACATCCTTACACTTAGCCTCAATCGGTCCCCCTATATTCCATGTTCTTGTACAGACCAAATGCAGAAGCAGAGGAGGCCACTGAAAGAGGAGAGTATTTTAGAGAACTGGATGTGTATATTCAGAAAGAACAAAAGTTTGTAAAATTCTAAAAAGAGAGATCTCTTGTTTAAATTTACCTGGGGACAGTAAATCTGGTTGCTAAAGTATGACATGCCTTATTCAGTATCACCAAATCTTCTCTTTTCCTCCCAAATGTAGCAGAACTACTGAAATTCTGTTGTATAGGGAGGGTTGGATGCAACAGTTACTGTATTTGCAGACTGCAGAGCTGTGCTTTGTAAGTGTGATCTCCACCACAGTGATTTTAGGAAACTCTTTGTCCTGAATTCCTCTAGTCTTTGTATGAACACAGCTAAGATACCTGGTCCCCTGCTCAGGAGACTGTCTTTATATAGGACTGAGTATAAATATGTACTATGTACATTGATATGAATGAATGCAGAGCTGCTTTCCAGAGAAGCAATGGATCTAACTATGCACCTGAAAATTTCCTGAACTGGTAGTCTTGGCTACGTATATGTGTATAATAGGCATAAAAATTTGGCACCAAATTTTATAGCCTGTCTATAGTTGGTGTGAACTACTACTATAGGTGAAGTACCTGTGAATGTAATAGCAAAAAAAAATCCCAACTTGAAAATCAAAGGCTGTAAAAACTCCTTAAAATGTGCTGAAATCTGACTGAGGAGGAATCTGGCTAGTGGCAATAAATTTGTAACAAAAACCCCATAGATATCTTGTTTGACTGCTCGTTGAATGCTGAGTTTTCGTTTTCCTGGCTTACAGCTGAAATGCATCCAATGCTTTGGATTTTTTTCTGGCTACCATTTTGTGTGATTGCAAGAAGAAATAAAATAGCGAATGTCGTAACTATTGAGAACATAGCTAAGATAATGCTAAGTCCAACTTTAAATTGTAGCTGTCTAGCAAGCTGTTACGCATGTAAGAGTAAGTACTTTTTCTAGTGTAAATGAATTCCTAATGTTTAGTTACCCATAATTGGAGGTTTCTGTCAAATTAGCCTATTTATTAATTTGTATTTGCGTAGTGTATACTCTATGTGTCAAATATACTCACAAACTTTAGCATGGTTGCCTTCGTACTACTTTTGGATACAGAACGTGAATGCTGCTCATGTCCTCTGGCAGTACCAGTGTCTGGTGAAAGGGTGCGTACGAATGATGGATAGTCTCTGTGTACCTGTCTTTCAGATAGTCCCAGGTTTGCTGCAAGTTCTGACTTTCTCCTTATTGTAATATATCTGTTGCAGTGAAATTCCTTCTCTAATTCTAGTCTCTGATGATCTGTGTAAACAACTCGGTACTTTTCTTTTGTTCTTGTTTTACCTGTTGAAGAAAGCAATGTTATTAATATGTTGAATTTGATTTTCTATAGCACCTTTCTTTCAAACATCTTAAACATTTTACAGACATTATTAATTGAACTACAGAGTACTTGCATGGGATTGTTTTCTGTGTTACAGAGAAGGAATATGAGGTGCAGGGTGAATAAGTGAGTATTGGCTATCATAACTGTCTCTCCCTCTTTATCTCCCTCCCTCTGTGAGCATACATTTAAATGTGAAGCTCTTAAGTGAAAAACATCCTGAAGCATCTTAAATAATTCATAGCAGTACATAACTGGTGCTGGCTATATTTGATCTCAAAGGGGGTTCATTGAAGTGACTTCCATGTATATGCGGGCATAAATACACAGGATTTAAAGACTGAAGTTCAGTCACAATTTGTTGAGTTGTACCATGTCCTAATTCTTTATTTGAGTTTTTAAAGATCACCTCCAACGCAAAGAAATGTCCTACTAGAAATGCTTTCACATTTTCTTGTGTGGCCATGGGATGTGCTTAGAAGTTCAATAATGATTTAAATTTATTTTTTCAAAAGCTCCAGTCTTGCAAGATGCTGAGTGCCTGTAGAGCTATTCCTGGGGGTACTCTGTGTGCTGAGCTTCCCATTCGAGTTGAAGGCACTTGGCAATTTGTAAGACGAGGCAATAAAATACTTGTAAAAAGATTTCAGTATCATCATCTCTCTAATGTATAAAAGAAATATTCTTTGATATATTGGATGAATACGTTAAGAGAAGCATTACTAGATGTTTAGAAGAGATCTCTCATTTCATAGACTTTTATAAACAATTCTTCATGTAATAATAATAGATCACTTTTCAACTTATTTGTTCTCCTTTGCACTTTCAACAGCCAACTAGATCGTTTTCCTTTTTCTTCAGATCTTCCCAGGTTTTTTTTTGATGTGAGGTTTCTGGGACAAACTGTAGGACAAAGACTCCTTTAAAGTGGTTCCCTAAAATCCAGTGAGGTGTTAAGATGAAGCACACGCCACACAAAAGAGCGACAAGGAGATCTTATCAAGAACCCCTTTCACATTCAGAAACACAAGCCAATTGGTTTGGAATTTACAAGCCCTAAACAAATGTCAGACTCTTTCATCTTAGCAGAGGAAAAAAGGACAGAAATAGATGAAGGAATATTTTTTTCCTCAGTTCTCTTTAATTTTGGCCCAACACTGAGGATAGACTTGCAATATTTTTATCTGAAGGCTAGAGGTAGACATAGCTTAAGACATTTTGAAATACGCATCATTAAGGATGTTTTCCCAAATCCTATGCCACTTTGACTTCTAGTGCACGAGGTTTTCCTGCCTAAATTTGGAGTACTAAAACAATCATCAATCTAAGTTTACTTTTTTTTCAAGGTACAAATTGTTGGCTTTGAAATATTTGCTCTAAGTGATAGTTATAATGTTAACAATAGTATAGATATTCAGGTTCCTTGTAAACTGAAGGCTTAGAAGGTAATCTTTGAAAACAAGTTAAAATTCAACAGGGTTATTCCGGCTTCACTATAATCAGCAAATATAACCATGATTTGAAGGGGTGGAGAAAAGGAGTAGTTTTCCCCATTCCCCTTGGTCATAAAATTCACAGAGCATTTCTTCTGAAGACAATAAAGCTAGGAGAAGGCCTCTTTATTTGCTGTGAAAATCATCACCCTTTCCGGCAATATAACTCCTGAAGAAAAGAGGGAGAAGGAAGAGACAAGACTGCATATCAAAGCAAAGTGAAGTGTTGAAAGGGTCTGTTGCCTCAATATGACAGATAGGCCTCAAAACCTCAGACAATGTAGGCCAGTGGAAAATAGATGTCACAACTAGTTTACAAAGAAAAATAAATTGGCTTTAGAGCAGAGGCCTGGCCTTTTTTCCCCCTGCTTTTCTATGTTGCTTTCTGGCTGTGTTTCTGCTGTGATGTAATCTGAATTACTTGTACATCACTGCCTGTTTAAACAAAGACTTAAAATATGTTGACTAGAGTTTTTAAAAAAAAGCTGAGGCTGATCTTGCAAAATATAAAAATAATGTTGTCCTTTAGTCCCCTTAAAGTCTCTTCTTTTTCTGAGAAGGGTCATTCCCAGATGAAGTCTCATATAAAGTTTTAAAAGATATGAAATCTATTTGCTAGACCCTTGTTTAGATACCTTCTTTTCAGTAAGGTTCATGCTTTGAAGGCTCACTCGATCTCATAAAATACACATTTTACACTGTTGATTACACAGGTTTTACAAATCAATTGGCCTGAAGTTCTGCTCTTGCATAACTGAAGTTGATGGGGCATTTTGTCATTGATTTTTAGTAAAACCAGGATCAGAATGTAAGGAATTATGTAGATGATCATCTTCTCCTTTTGATAGCCTGTCTGGGAAGATATTTTTACCAAGCCCACTTTCGATGTATGGTTTTTTTAAAAATTTCTTATTGCCTCATATGTTTGCAATGTCTGTGTATTTGAAATTAAAAAAAAAAAGTTTGGTTCTGAATATACAATTAGGGTCTTTTAGTAGGAGGATATATAATTTCAAATCAAATTTTATCTGTTGAAAGGACATAGCACTTCTGTCTTAGTGATGTTTCATCCTGAGAACTGACTTGATCGGGTAAATTTTCATTTCATTTTTCCTGCAATTTAACTTTTTATAAAATGCTGAATACGAATATTGAATCAAAATGTAGTGTATTTAATAGAGTCTAAATAGAGGGGAAAAATTCCCATTAACATCCCTTCCCCAAAAATAATTCTCATTGTCTTCAGGACAGTATTTTAGTCGGCTCCTTTATTTAGTTAGATTAGATTTCTGTTATTTTGTGCTGCTCACATACATTGATGTGAGTCCAGACCACTAGTGACGTTAAGGACATAACACATATTTATGTATATAAATATATTTGTAAAGTTTAGGGCTGTAATTCTGAAATTTTAGAGCAATGAACTGTATTAAGCAGTGATAATATTGAAGGGGAGGAGCCAATAGCTACTTTGATAGCATGGATCATATTATGGCAATAAGGAAAAACAGAGAGCAAGTCTGTTTCAAAGAGTGGTTATAATGGCATCAAGTAAGTTTTCTTAAATTATCTTCGAGATAAATTCATATGTAGCTGTTACATGCGTAATTTTAGCCATGACATTATTTGTTTGAATTTCCTTTCGTGTTTCACAACTTTTTATGTGTTTATGTGTCAGTATTAAATTTTTCCAGTTTTTACAGTTACCATTATTTTAAAAAATCAATGAAAAGACAAATGTATTTGGTACTTCTCTTGTTTTGCAAAATTCCACATTCATGCTTTGCTCTCTCCCAAACCCTTTTTTAAAGCTGGGTTGATGTCTCCAGCCCAATTCTGGGAAGTCCTGAGCTGTTTTTAACACTTCAAAGGACTGGGCTCTAGGAATGTACAGCCTCAGGACACGTATCTGTTGACAGGCCCTGTTTCACCTGTCCAGTATTGTTCATAAAGTATTTTGGCACGTGTGTAAATTCTGTGTAAGTGCTTTTCAGACGAGAGATGAATTTAAGCACATAACTGCTTTTTTGAATTGCGTATATATTTTATGAAGTTGAGCAAGCACGTGAGAAAGCTTTCAGGGTCTTCCATGCCTGTGCAATAAGTGTAAAACTTAGAATTTAGATTTTTAAGTTTGTTTTATTCTTTAAGAATGCTAACACATTTAAAATTCAGTGGCAACATGACAGAGACAGGGTTGCCTCATTGACATTCAGTAGTCTCAATTGAATTTGGTCTACACTCAAGTCTTGCATCACTTCTACACCTGGAAATCTCCAATGATGTTAATGAAGTTACTGCTGATTTACAGGAGTATACATAAGGGGGGGGGGAAAACTGACTATAAATCTGCCCGGCTTTGAAGACCTTTGTAGAGGCTCCAAGTGGAAGGATGGCATTGTGGTATCTTAATGTTCACTAGGCATTTTATATTTAGTAACAGCGCGTATCGGTTTTTAACTAAGAAACAATTACCAGACTAATTTTGCTTTTGAGTAATAGCCATTTGAAGGAGGATTGCGTCTCAAGCAGCAGTGGTGATTTTCCATGTCTTCTAAGATTGTTCTAATTGTAATTGCTCTTTCTTTAGAGCATTTTCTTTGATGCTCTCTAACATACACTTACTACTTTTGACCTTAACAATAGATTTACCAAACCTTGCTACACCCATTTTACACCTTGGGAATATACACTGAAGGGTTCATCTGGCATGCAGCTTGTGACAAAAACAGGCGCATCAATGACTGACACTTGCAAGAAAGTGATTTTTAATTGTGTAATTGTGGCAAGCTGCAAAATTCTGGTACATGAGAAAAATACTGTAAAATCGATTTGAGACTAAATGAAAAGGAAGCTTAACTGATGAGATATGTGGTCTGCAAACAAAATAGTCTACACTGATCATTTGAGGCAGATTACTTCTCTAGGAATATTTCTTCTCACCTATTAAATCTAGGTAGAAAAATAAAATACAGAGGAACAACAGGAGAAAATTGCATAATCGCTACAGTGGGATCAGAGCACATAATTTTCTTTAAAAGTATTGAAAAGTCTGTAAAGATTTAAAAAGGTCAACCTGATTTTATGCTTATATTTACCTTGCGGCACAAAATAATTGTGTAGTGTTTTTCCCTGTAACTCTTAAATGTTGCTGCATTCATTGTTGCCTAACATTCTCAAGAGTATCTTGTTTTTCATCCAAAATGCATTACAGAATGTTACAATGAAGATTCCTGGACTTGAGTGAGATGCAGCCATATCTAAACACAACAGCCATTCCACTATAGTAACCTTATACAGCCTTTATGGGACGAAAGTGAAACTAGTGCAAATTTAGTTTAAACTGCATGAAACAGCAGTAGGTTAAATAAATGTCATAAATGACCCACCAACCTATGTGCTTCAAGTAAAGTTAATTATTTATAAGATCAGTGATAGCAGAAGATGCTTTCTCAGGTTGAAAGCTGAACGTACACTTACCAGTAGTGTTAGTTTGCACCGTTTTCCTCATCCATTCATAAGAGCTGTGCCTTTGGCTGTTGGGAGAGATTTGCTGTGTATTAATTGTTTCTACAGGAGGTAACCCCCCAGATCCAGCAGGATGGAGGGAGCTGTAATCAGCAGAACTGTAGGAGACCTGTCCAGGAGACGAGCCATTGATTTGTGCAGCAGCAACTGTGCTGGACGGTCCTGGGCCGTAAGCGTTCCAGTCCTCCCGCTGTGGGCCATAGTGGGATCCCCAGGTTCCCGCAGGCTGTCCATGGGTGTCCAGAGTTGGCACATGATGATATCCCATGTAGTCTGAATAGGGTGGAGCAGACACAAAGTTTTGCACTGGCACGTTGTTGTTACCCCTTGCAGATCCTGGATACATGCTGGTCTCTTTATCCAAGAGAGAGCTCACATACATGATTGTCACAGATTGTAAATATGTTGTCACAACATCTTGTTCTTCCGTATTTTCTTTCGCTGTTTAAAAAGAATTGTGTTTGGTTTTCTCTAATAATGCCACTCTGCTTGGAATCTTCTGCTTCATCCTCTTTTATTATCAACTGTGTTACCAGGTGCTGGTGGTAATGGTTTACCAAGATCTTGTCTGACGTCAGCCTAACTGCCTGCCTCATAATTACATTTACATTCAAATGAAGGGCTGACCAACCCCACCTTTCTGTTTTCTCTTTTAGAGAACTTTTATCTATCCTGTTATCCTTCCCTGATATTCAACAGCAATTCCAGTACTGTAAGATGATGCAACAGTGCCTGTATTTGTAACTTAGCAAAAAAGACTTTTTTTAAGAAAAGACAGTGGTAACTAGAATGGCAGTGTTTGGTGTTCAAATGATTCTAGTCCAAAACCTTTATTTTTGTGGTATGTTATCAATCAACAAGGAAATCTGTTACTCTCTTAGTTTCTCAGATACTCAAAAGAATCCCATTTTTACTTCTTAAATTAAGGGACACAGTCAATTTGAATAATTGGGAAGCAATAACTTCAGAATACAGAGCACCTTGTAAACAGCATGTCTTGAATATAACTGTCTCAAAAATTTTCCCCTCACTGATGTTTGTAACTGGTTTTCTGGCATGGGAGAAATTAAGGCTCTAACTATAGTGCATATGTTCAAGCTCTCCCCATGCAGAGGGATTTAAAAGAGATCCCTTCATCTGGTGGCCATTGCAAACTGATACATTTTAAAAAGCAGACAATAAATCTTCTTAACAAAGATGCTGCCAGAAGTACAAAGAAAATGACTGTAAAAAAGTAAAAAACCTCTTTGATTGGGCCCAGTAATATTGTCGGTTCTGTTTCAAACTGAAGACAGCCTTCATCTGCCCAAAAGGCTGGGTGTCTTCTTCTGAAACTGCTGTATAATAGTCTGTTTTCAGTGGTGGCAGCTTAGGTAAGTGCAGTCAGCAGTGAGAAACATCTGGGTTATCAAGTTAGTGGATCAGAACTCCCTTGATGTTTTTCTGAAGCGCCTGTCACATGGCTGCTCTATAGGTCAATGTGAGTGTTCCTACCAAGAACAATTATGAAGGTGGTTTGTGTGTCATTACAGAGTTTGATATTAACATGTGAGAATTAAACCATACCTTATGACTGGAGAATTGCCTCTATATAGTTGTCTAGCTACAATTTGTAGACTGAATTTGATATTTTTTTTTATCTTGGATGGATTTCTTTGCAATGAGCTATTTGTCAAGGGGTATGCTTGCAAAAGAGGTGCAAATTACAATGAGTTGTTTCCCTTTACAAAGGTGTGGTTTTTCATTCAGTATCCTTTGTATTTTGACACTACTTGTATTCACACATCCCTTCTAATTCCAGCACTAAAGGATTCTAAGTGTATTCTTAAAGAGAGGAAAGATATTCCTCTTCTGGTTTGGTGGGGTTTTAGAGGGGGTTGGGTTGTTGGGGTTTTTTTGAGGCAAGAATTTTTACTGAGAAGTGTGGCAAAATCTTTATAATTCAGTTTGCTATATTTACAGATTTCTTTATTAATCCTTGGGACCATAAGAATGTTGTGGAAAGTTGCATCATGGAATAGGACATGGAAAAAGTAAGGCCTTCTGTAATTGCTGTACTTTTATGAAAACAGCCATTAAAAAAATCAGAACAGACTCCTGTTCCCTTCCTCTTGAAAGAAAAGGAATTACAATACACTTTTTGAGAGCCCACAGATTTTTAGTACTGATATATACTAAAAAGAACAAAGAGCTCCACTGAGCATCATCCAAATTAGACAGGATCTGTTTCCTATACTGGAAGTATCCATGGTATCTTGGCCTATTTGTGAGCATTATCCTAGCAGTTGAATTCTGATGTATTGCTAAATTTTATGCAGAGCTGTCAGTCACAGGCAGATCCGCAGGAGGATGAGGTTTTGTCTCCACTGACTATCTGAAATCCATTGACACAGTACAAATGAACATTGGTTGCTCCCAGATTTCAGATCAGACACATTGTTTGACTTCTACTCCTAAGCACACCGTTTTCACGTGTTAGTGAGTGACATTTAATTTCATAGAATGTATTAGATCTTGGTAACATTTTTAATCCCCGGTCTTCCTTTTTCTTTATGGGATGCCTCTGCACATACCCCCCACAATTTCACTATCGCCTAATCCTATTTTTTGTATCTGAGAGCTTTATCCTTTATTCTCTGTTCTTTTATCTTTTGTTTATGCTCCTCCTTTCCCTTTCTTGTTTTGCCTGTTCCATTATCTGAATTTTCCTTAGATCTATTTCAATTCTTTCCAGAACATAATTAGATCAAGATACGCCAATGGCAAATTGCTACACTGATTTGATATCAGCTAACAATAGTAAGCTTTGACTACGACATTTTGTTTGAAAAGATTTACATAGCAGGATAAGATTGCTGGGTAGGACTGCAGATTTTTAACACCAAAGTGAGAATAAGATAACTAAAATGGCAACATTCAAATGATCATCTGCACCCTGACTCTTAAGCCTTCCATTTCCATTCCCACAGAACCATGTGCATGTATTAAAAAGGAACAATGCCTTTGCATGGAGTCTAGTAGTTTGAGGCTACCAAAATTTTGGGATTGATGTTTTTTGAGAGCTAATTGACTGTTAATCAGAGTCTGCCTTCCCAAGAGTCATTTCTTGGCCGCACACGCGTCCCTCCTGTTCAGATCCAGCGTGTCGGTAGCTTCAGAGTCACTGAACCACTGCTTCTTCAGTGTATAGTAGGAACTTACACTGTAGTCCCAGGGACACTTTTAGCGGGCATTGCTGTCAGGAAAAGGTGGGGGGAAAGAAAAAAAAGTGCACTGCCCTTGCGTTGTCCATATTTGCTCTGTGAGGGGATGGCGATTAGTTGCTGGTAGTAGAGGAAGGGCTGCCTGTGCCTCCTCAGTGCTTGTGGAACTGTTGTGTTACCATGGGCCCTGTCCTGACTTTCTGGGGTGATGGGAAAGCAAAAGCAGTTCTGAGGTAGTGGGCTAGAGATGCAGAAATCTTATCCAAACGGAGGTTTGTATTTATACCGTTTTCTGCGGTGGGTGATAAAGACAGAACAGGAAAGATCTGTGTGGTATTGGCAGCAAGAGTGCTCTGCTCTTTGGCATAACTCGGAGAGATGGATTGCCAGAATAACTGAACTCCAAGCTTATAATTTTCCGGTTTTTTCCTCCCTCTATTTGTTAAATTGCTGTGTAAACTTATCTACTTAGCCAGTGTCCACAGGAGTTGCCTCTGTTGACATGAAGTTGTATGTGTGTAAAATGGAATGTACTTTGAGATCTTTGGGGAAGAAAATTTTCTAGTTTTCTAACAAGCTGTTGATGAAAATCTAGCAATAACAACAAGCATAGTGATAACCATTGGAACTATTAAATTTTGTTTGAACAGGCAATGTAGATGGTATACTGTGGTATATGTGCTGTTCTAAAGAGCGTTTCCAAACTGGGTAATAATAGTATAATCACAAATGTGCAATTAAATGTTTTAATGACAGCTATTATAACTGCAATTTCAGGGACTACTGGTAGATAAAACTGGCCTGTACAACAATAACTTATATTAAAGGTGTTTATACCTGTGATAGTTTTTATTAGGAACCCTTACTCATAAAGTTACTCTTCTTTTTATATGGAGATAAGAAGAAACAGATCTGTCCATCTTTGAAGTTTGAAAATGATATGAAATCTACCTGAGATTTTGTTTCTGAGGCCAAAAAACCAGGTGAGCTTAGCGTGTCCCATTCTGGCTAAGGTAACAGGAATAGATGTTTGTTTTTCTGCCTCCAGATGACCACTCTAATAACACATCAGTAACATCAGGCTTAGGAATGCTTCTTGCCCGTACCTTTATAGCTGCATGCTTGGAATTTCAATGGAGTGGCTAGCTAAGGACTTTGTTAGTGAACTGTGTATTTCTGAGAGTTAATGCAGTATTTTGGAGGTGTTATTGACCCTTTATTCATGCTGGGCTTTGGACGCACACCCTTTCCTCCTAAAATTAATACTCAGCTGTATAATCTTGAGGAAGGGTCAGTCAGTACATGCCACGCTGTCAACTGAGGTCAGTTGTGTTGGAATAAAATCTGACTAGTCATGAAGGCAGGCAAGTGGTTTTAAAATTTTAAAAAACACAGCTGAAGAGACTGCTCTTGCTTTCACTGAAGATTCTATAAACACAAAGCTTCTGAAAATTTTATTTACCCCTTTTAATTGGGCTGTTTAATATGCAACAACCTAGTTAGGTCTCATTTTCAGAGCTTGAAATGCAAGCACACGCCAAATTGTATCTCCGAATTGACAGATGTGGCACAGCCTGGAGAGGTGAACGAGCAATGGTAGCTGAACTATTTTCACTTGCTGAACTGAGCGCTTCTGGGAAAAAAGGAAAAGGGATATAACATAAGTTTCAATTCTGTACTGTGTGTCTTTGTCATCCCTAATATGTATTTCTTTTTCAGAAGAGATCAACAGTAGAAATAAAAATGTCACTTGTCCATGAAGCCTTCCTCAATGGTTTCATTTTTAATTCCATGCTCTGAAATTTTTGTTGTTAACAAATCCTTTTGAAAAATGACGAAAAATGAATTGTTGGGAGCATGGTGATTGTATTTACCCTTCTATCTATTCCACTACTGTTTTTCTGTCTGCTGCTAACAATGACTTACCCTTCATTTCTTAATGTTAACTTTTGCATTTTATTAAAAGTAGCGACAATGTATTTCATGTATGATCTGCATCAGTGTTGGAGTTGCCAGGAAACAATGGTCTGGAGCTAAAGGAGGGTCTTACTATTTTGAAATCTAAATAATTTAAAATCTGTTAGAAAAATCAATCCTGACAGTAATTAAGAGTATGTCTCCCTGCTCAACAAGCAGACTTAATGCAGAGCCTGCATGTGAACTCCAGGTTAAATTGATTCTTTTTCACAGAACCGTGAAAATGAACAGCAAATCCTCTATTGACGTTTATTTGGTTTCCTTCCTGAATCATGTAGTGTAGGCCTCCCACTTACTGTAACTAATTCGTGCCGACCCGAGTATAGCTAGATGGGAGTATTGGGTGCTCACTATTGAGTCCTTAGTGTGGTCTGTCTTTCATGAGGTACCAAAGGAACTGATTGCCTTTACTGTTTGCCATTCTTGCCATACATGTGGTTTATATTCCTGGCAGACTGGCATTTCTGTTGCACAAATTTAACTCTTCTTTCATACTCCCAGGTAAGAGAGATTATTGTCTATATAAAGTCTGTCCTGCCTGAGAGTGACTGTATTTTATTGTGGCTTAGAAGACCAAGAACACACAGGGTATATCTTAATTAAGTCTTTCCATTTATTGTGGTACCTCTTAGAACAGAGTTTGTTACAAAATGTACAAGAAAGTCTTTGTGCTCTTTGAGTATGAAAACAGCTGGCAAACATTTTAATCATAAAACCTGTGCCTATTTTTTTTACATAGTGAGGTTTGTACAATATTGTGTCCAACTAGTAACATCCAGTGCTGTTTCAAAATATGACTGGCTGTGTAAGTCATCTGCAAGGATGTGTCATCTCGGTGTATGCTCTGAGTGTAAAAGCTTGGGTTGGAGTAAGCCTGTAGTGCACCAGCAAACCGAGAAAGGGTGCTAAAGTAGGATTATGCTTTTTAATTTTTATGTTAACATCCAGAATTAATGTATTTTTGAATCTGCTCCTTGGGTAGAAGGTAGCAGATACCCCTTGCAGTCTCATGTGTATGTTAATGATTGCATCATGTGTATGTTAATGATTGCATGACCACTAAGCAATTGCAGCTACTGCATATTTGAAGTTTTTGTTTTAGAAATGTAATTTGGAATTGTATATTTTGCTTAGTTGCATGAAGTTTTTGTAGAAGGTCCTATTTGCTATGCTCTTCTTGATCTTTTGTACCATATAGATCACAATTCTCGCTGGGTGATGGGGTTTAAAGGTTAGTGAATTCCTCTGAAAATTGGATGTACCTTGATCGTTCTTTTAATCACAATTAGGATTAAGGGCTTAGATATTCTTGTGATGTAGTCTAAGGTATGCTTTTCTTCTTCAAGGCACTTTGCTAACAACCAATCAATCTTCACAGCAACTCTGCTTTAGGGTCCCTAGTTTTCAGATGTGATAAGTGATAGGTTGTATGATACAACCAAAGTCAGGAAGAAAATAAGTATTATTCTGAGGACTGGCACCAGTACTTCATGACTCACAATGTTGGACCAAAATACTTTCAGTTGATTTGGCTCCAATTTTGTGTCTCTCTTATTTTTAATTATAGACAATACAGCATCTAAGCAATAGCACCACACAAGATTTTTAGAGAAAAATAGGTTTTTTTGTTTCTGGTGGGCAACTGTTTAAAGGATGAAAGCACATTGGAAATATTTAGTTGAATAGATTGCTGGTAAGATTTACAAAAAAATTGTACTACTTAAAACAATCACTGGCATAACTAGAAGGTTAATAATCTCTAAGGTATTGCCCTGGTTTATAGATACTCCTTTTGGAGCAATAAATTTTAACCTTTGAACGTGTGCTTCTGCAAATAAAATCCAGCCTTATTTTGTGTACTTAACAACTTCTGATTGGAAACACATAGCAACCTATAACAAGCATGCTTTCAGCAAACTGGAACAGAAATGAGGCAGATCTTCAAAGTGGTCACTTATCTTCCTCAATAACTCTTCTACATGTAAACAAGATAAACCAGGTCGTTTTGCCAGATCCCCCTCTCTTTGAATGATGTTTAAATAATTTTAAAGAGAAAGAAGTTGTGTTCAGATATATTTCTTTTCCTGAAGTTCTTTCTTGAAGGACTTTATTCTCCTTTTTAAAATTTTAATGCAAAATTAAACTATGTCATAGAAATGTGATTAAAATAAATAGCTATGAACTTGATCCTGCAAAACCCTGGGGCCAGTGTTCTGTGCACTTAGCTAGAACTAGGTCTTAAATTATTGTATATCGGTACAAACCCCCAAACTTTCCCACTCTATTCTTACCTTTTGAAAGTCTAAATCTGGAAAATTTTATGGATTTTTCTCTAGTATGGAAGCATAATTCTCTTTAATTGACCAATGTGAGGATGTTTTTCTCCTTGAACCTTTTTCAATCTCTATTAAGTTAAATATATGTGCGTGTGTAGGTAAAATATCTCTAGCGTTCCTCTCTGTAGACAGAATGGCTGTTCTGTGTATTTCCAATGGATTCCTCTTTTGGACACATTCAATGGATATCTCTCTTGGGAGAAAAAAGAGTGTTTTGGTTTGGTTGCCATGCTCATCAATATGGATGGCAAATCGGTTTTGTTCCCACGTGCTGCTTGTCATGTTCCACTTTTCATACTATGTGGAAATCAGTAAGGGTCTTTCTGTTGCTGAACTTTGAATTGCAGTTTTTTCATCTCATTTGTATTACCTATGCAAAGCTTTCAACTGCTGTTGCCAGTAAATGGAGCAGCGTTGTGAAAGGAAAGAGTTTGGAATTTTACAATGTAGATATGTGTCTATTTAGAGTTGGAATTTTACTCTTATTTAGTAAGAGTTCTTCTTGCAATCATAAAATGATAAATAAAATTAAGAAATAGCTGAAACTGCCAGCTCTCTGAACCACCCTGGTCTTACTGTTGTCCTGTACTTGTTGTAAGCTTTTTTTACCATCGCCCTGCTTTTAAATTTGATATTACAATTCAATAATCATGAAAATCTGCATGTTCACGTGCTACAGTAGCTGATACCACATTGGAAAATGATTATGAAAAAATTCATTTATTTTAATGTTCTTTATATACAAAGTAATTTTACATTACCAACACTTTGATGACCTAATAGTACTATTTGTTATAATTAAGGAAAAAACCCCCAAAATGTAGTGCCTAAATGACTTAATGCTCCTAAGTCTTATTTGCAACAGTGACAGATATTTAGGAGGACACCTTGATGAAAATTAGGGAGGACAGGCATCCTAAATTTCTAAATTGCTTTTGACAATGATAGTATAAATTCCCCTATCAGCTGCGTGCTGTAAATATTTTCCCTTTGCAGACAAGTTATGCACATGCAATTGTTAGTCATCCTAGGAAGTAAGTATCCGGATTATTCTTAAGTATTGATTACCTACCAAATTCTGCCTGGTATGGAATGGATCAGCACTTTGGGAATTGAGACCCACTTAAAAAATGCTGAGACCTTATATTTAAATGAAATATTTGTTTGCTTTGTCTTCCATTAATTTGGCTTCTCAGATATTTTTAGTGTCACAATAGCTCTGAAAACTGGACCAAATTTAAAATTAGTTGATATGCAATTATTGCATCTTTATCCATGGGCTATGCTGTCTCATGAAATGTAGTCACTTAAAAATACTTACACTTTTTAAAAGGATTCCCCCCCCCCCCCCTTTTAGGATACAAAACAAGTCTGAGATGATTTTTCTTCTATCAAAAATTAACTTGGACCAAGACTCACAATTCCAGAATGCTTTTGAAACATTTATGGTACGATTGAAGAGTGCATGTTTATATCAGCGTATGGAGCATTGGAAATCATACCTGTCAAACCCAAAAAATGCCAAAGAGCTCATCCCTGACCTTTGCCCTTACCATGTAGTGAGTGCAATCACCACAACCCGTGCTTTCCATCAAGTGGGTCAAAACATATAAGCCAGGTTTTCATTTATCAAGATCCATGTGTAAAGTCCATGAAAGTGAGATTAGTACATGGAACCTGCGTGGAGATCAAAGGAGAAAGAATATACTCTTTACCTAGGGGCGAGGGACAGACAGAGCACTTGTGTACAGCTGCCATTACTGCCTCAGCAATGTTGTATTGCCTGTGGCCCATTTTGTGCTTTTTATTTTTTTTTTTTTTTTTTTGGTCTGCAGTGCACTGAAACAAGTGGCTGTACCTGGTCCTCAGCTCTCCTCCCTCCCAGTGCCTACCCACCTGCTGCACGGCTGGAGGGATGCTTGCCTTGTGCCACAGACTCGGCATGGCATCCTCTGGCAGAGGCTCCCTGCAACTAGGACTCCTGGCACACAGCAGTTCCGTTGCCCTTGGGAACTTGCGCTATCCTGCAGACCTGGCAAGTGGCTCTCGCTTTACTGTACTTGAAGCTTATGTGCACAGAACTGTGTCATGCTGGGGACTCCTGCAAAACAGCTACAGCTGTCCTCTCTCTCTCATACTGTAGTGCTCCATGTACTGGTAGTTTATAGTGTTCGTTACGCTGTAGGTCTTCAGGCAGCCCTACTGAGAGGCCACTACCTGCTGCAGGTTCCCGTTGTGCTGCAAACCGTTCATGGGAAGCGGAGGTGGAGGAGGTGGAGGTGGGAATAAAGAACTGGACATTTCTGAATGAGTCTGTTGGTCAGGAACTGGCATCGGGCTCACAGAGCCAGAGTCACTCGGCATAGAGCCAAGATTGCTGCCATCAAAATGAGTCATTTTCTTCTTCATTAATTTTCTTTCTTTGGCTCTGCGATTCTGGAACCAGATTTTCACCTGCAGAGGAGCAGAGGAAATTTTTTTTCAGTTGCTAATAGAATGCAATGTGGTCCTTTATGTATATAGTCAAGGGTCATAGGTAAAATCAATTCCATGAGGACCACTGAGAAAGGCAGTGGCAAACTGAGACAACAGAGCATTTTGCTTATTTTTCATACAGGTAATCTTTCCTATCTGGTAATAAAATATTTATTAATAGCTTGATAAAAAGAGTTTTTCAGTGTTCAGTTTCAGTGTTTGGTACTTCATTTCAGTACCAAATTATGTTCCATTGAACCAGTCTCAAATACTCTCGGATCTCTTGCATTCTGATTGTGCTGCAGTAATCTAGTTTCACCCATGCATTTGCCAAAATGCAAGAAGAGATGAAACAGTCTAAAAACCAAACTAACATCTGTTTCAGAATTACCTTCTGGCTTCAGTGAGACAACAGTGTCTACCTACCTGCCTTCGAATTTAGGTTTTTGTTCGGGTTTGTTATTAAACTAGGGATGCAGATCTGCAGCAATTTTCTCTCTTCTTTCTTGTCCTCGTCATCTCCTTCATTTCTGTATCCTTCCTATCTTAACAGTGCTTCATTTTGCCTTTTTTTTTTCTTCATTAGATATTACATCTTTCCTTCCTTGTTTGAACAATTGTTCTTTGTTCTTTTGTCTTGAGATATTCCTTCCAGTGGCCTGGATGGGATTTTGGCTTAGCCAGGAAAAGAGCTTTTCCAGAAAATCATTTCAGGTTTTAGGCTGAGTGCAGTGGAACGTGGGATAGGACAGTGTATGTCCAGTCATATTCATACCATGGGGTTGCTTCATTTGTGTGAAAGGGTAGTAGTGGGAATATAGATCAGGTATTTCTTAATCTTCCATTTTCAAAAGTGATGTCAGAGATGTAACCTTTATGCACTGGAATGAATTTTGTTCATGACATATATTGATGATGAAGAGCAGCAAATATTGCAAAAACTGTTGCCATGTTTCCCCAATATATGTCAAAGAAATGTATCATGTCTTTTTTGTATCGCCACTTCAAATATACTAACAAAAAGGTTTATCAGGAATTATCACTGACCTAGGAAGTTTCAAGTAAATATTGTTGGTCATTTACAGAAGCAGGGTCATAATTTTTAAATTCAGCATAATGAAGTCAAATTATTAAGATTTTAACAGCCAGCAAAAAGACACATAGTATATTTTTTATGCTCAGTTGAAATAATTTTAATTTTGAATAATTAAATACTTGCATTCAGCAGATTACTGAGAAATATTTGCAAAACAGATATTTGCTTCTGCATTTCTGTGAGCTCTTTCAGTGTGTGCTGTGTACGAGTTCAAGGTGGATGGACAGTGCTACAACTAGGTGGCTCAGTACAGCAGTGAAGCAATGGTGAATCAGGCATAATCTTCAATGAATGATACCAAATAATAACTGAGAAAACAATGCTGTGATGGTCTGCGAATAGAGAAGGCAGCAAATGAGCATATTGTGTCCTGAAATCTACTCAGGGAGATCCTTCAGTAAAGCTTTTAATTTTCTGTTTCTGCTTAATTTAGGGTACTGCATCAAGAAACTCCCATGTAAAATGGAACCAAACATATGCTCAGACCATGTTGTGAGTGTCTTTGTGGGAGATCTAGCTTGGCATCTTATCTCAGTTGTTTGCAAGAGCCAGCGGCCATATACCTGCTTTGCTTTCGTAGGGGGTGGCACCGGCGCATGATTGAAGAACGCGGCACAGAGTGGTTCCAGAGAAAATTGTATATATCTTTTGACCAGAAAGGATTGTGTTTTGATTTACGTTGTGGGAACAGAAGTGGAATTTGGAAGAGGTGGGAGGAAATAGGGGCAGGAAAAAGTTACTGCAAGTATGTAGGAAATCCTTAACAAGAGGTAAAAGGCAGTCAGAGAAACAGATACCTTCAAGTGTCCTGAACATACTTGAGCTCATCACTTCCATTCTCTGCTAAGACTGACCTTGTTGAAATTGGTTATAGGATTCCCATTGACTTCAGCAGAACCAGGACTTCTGCTTTAGAAATTTCAGCAAAAATTTCTCCCTGCTACCACTACCCCAGTAAAACAGAGAGAAATCCAGGCAGGATTTGGTTGATATATTTAAACCCTTGTTTCTCAGAACAGGACTGTATGTAAGACTGGTGTTTGCTTTTTTCCCTGTTGTTGCAGAGCTCCCTGATGAGTGCTGAAGTAGTGCTGATGGGATATTTAGAAATGAGTGCAAACAGAGCTGTCAGGCCATTCAGCTGGATAGTTGGAGTTCCTATGCTGCAAAGGGAACCCAGTCGCATTGTTTGGTTATTAGACGCATTAGCATTTTTGTGTTCTTAACCAGTGTGGTTATCTCCTCATCAGCAATAATAAATTCAAATAAATCCTGAATGGGTGATCCATACTCTACCTGTCTCTCGGAAAGTCTTAGGTTTGCAGCAAGTTCAGACTTCCTCCTGATTGTAATGTATCTGTTGTAATGAAATTCCTTCTCTAATTCTAATCTCTGATGATCTGTGTAAACCACTCGGTACTTCTCTCTTGTTCTTGTTTTACCTGTTTTGAAAGAAGAACACATTGCTTCAAGCTAGAATTTTTTAAGTTTAATAACACAAAATATCTGGCTTTACATTTGAAAATATGTTTGTGGGTATTTTAGGCCTGATTCTGTACGCACTTACCCAGAGTAACTCCCTTGACTGCAGTGGACTTGGTCGTGATTTACAACACAAGAGGTTCATACCATCAGATTTTGGGTTTGCTTCTTAGTAAATACATGATAAACTGGTCCTCATATTCTTTATCACCCTCGTGTTATCATTTGGGAGAGGGATGGCATTCTTGTTAAGAGCAAGGAGTCAGGAAACCTGGGTTCTGTTCCCAACTCTGATGCAAGCTTCCTGCCTGGTGTTGAATTGCTCTGTTTCTCTGTCCCTAAAGCTGATACACTGCTACCTGTTTCATAGGGAAATTGTGAGGGACATTTTACTGCACAGAAAATACTGAGAGCTTCCAAAGTTCATCCCTTCTTGTTGCTGGAAAAATTAGTACAATATTGTGATTGTTGATGCAGCCTGGAGATTGTGTTTTTCCTTCAAGTCTGGCACAGTCTATCCACAGGGAATAGTAACATAGATTTTCAGATGACAGATAATAAAAAAGAGAAAAAGAAAGTGATAATACTTAACAAAGGACATTGAATAACGATAGAACTGCAGCATCTGTTCTTTTGCAAGCAGCGCTGCTGCATCCTTTCAGCTGTGGGTACAGCTGACTGAAGCAGGCACGGCTCAGCAGTGTCCGGGTCGTTAAAAGGTAATGGCAAATGACGTGAGCCAGTGAACACAGATGCAAGTAGCTGAAATTTTATGGATTCCATACAGGATAATTTCTGAGGACAGAATGTGTTGGCAGTAGTGAAAGAGAATTGAGAATGGGAAAGGCTACTGATGCTGCCTTTCTCACCCACCTTTCCTCTGTTGTTAATATTCATATTGGGCAATCAGTATGTCAGAGATATAAACCAAGGCCCGTGAGCCCTAGCCTAAGGTCTTCCTACAGTTTTGAAAGACTGGATCATTGTTGTGTTAAGACCAGTGTTATCGTGTTCGCTAACCACAGTCTTAGGAAATTTTTTTGTGCTTCCTTGTCTGTCTGTATTCATATGAATGTTTCTTTAGATGTATATATTTAGACTGTAAATTGTCTGGGATGGAATGTATTTTTAGTTGCAGCGTGTTCCACTGTGGTACTGTAGGTCATGAATCTTTAGTGGTCGCTATAGTAGAACAGTAGAACCATAGATTCAGGTTCTCTCAGATGATGTGTAAAACTCCAGGCGCATTGTGGCTTGTTGCCTGTAACAGTCTGCTATTGCTGCAGATTTAGCTTAGCTTCATACAACAGCTCATGTTTGCTTACAGATCTTTTTCTGAAAAGAATGTGTGGATGCCTAACTCTTCAAAAAACAGGTTCCTCAAACTTATAATAATTGCACTCCTAATAAGAGCAGTTAATTTTGAATGGAGAGGACTGAAATAGATTTTCAGGCAATGAGTTGGTAAAATTTCAGTCTGGGAGTAGGTCAGCACGGCACGCCACCCCATAGCAACCAGCTTTTCCCCTGCAGGAGAGAATAGCTGGAGGTTTCATGTATCAATGGTATCAAAGGCCTGATTTCTCCCCAGCCCCTCCTTCCAACTCCTCTTGCTTTTGAAGTTTAAGTAGCACCCAAAGATCAGAATTCAGGGTGCAGAACTACAGCTGAATCTTGAAGTACTTTATCTCTTAATTCATGATTTAGTTTCACGGGTTAATGGTTTTTTTCCACATCTGTGGAGGGAGATGTAATGTCTCTTTGTTTTAATAGCTGAACATATTTAAAGTTAACATTGCCTTCCACTTGCTGTATACACTGTGTAGTAATGGCTTGAAAGCCATATCACTTTTCTCTTCCAGCATTTGACAGCCAGTACTTTGCTACTTGTAAGAGTTTTTGGGTCACCAAGGTATTGTTTGTGTTGGCAGGTTCTTCAGGTTCTGATCCTTTTTGTACGGTTTGTATAGATCCTAGATACAGAGTTTAGCACTGGAAGTCCTGGTCAGTGCAATGCTGTAAACAAATATTGTTACACCTCTGGTAGCATTTCTATCTTTGTGAAACTGTAGTGAAAGCAGAATTAGCCCAATTACGTTTACACTGATAATCAAGTGAAAAGTGCTGTTATTTTTACAGCATTATGGTAGAATTTTAGAGTCTCTAAAGAACAGCAGTTATTCAGTTCAGTCCACATAAATGCTAGGACATTTGTTTTCATTCATTCAAAGTGTAAATTGTTTGTTTAACATATGGTCACCTGTGGTGCTTTAATGCCTCACTTGATATTTTTTAACTTTTGATCTCTCTCTAGCCAGTGGTTTGGTTAGGTTTTTTTCCTCTTTAAATGAGAATTTGGGGTCATTCTATGGGACAAAATGTTTAAAATATTTCCTTAGTCTCCTTTGTGTTGTTAAGATGGAGTACACAAAAGAGCAACAAGGTGATCTTATCTTGAACTCTATTCTCATTCAGAAGCCATAGACAAATATCAAATGTTCTTCTATTGCCAAAACAAGGTGGTAAACTTCAAGATAAACCTTCCTCTTTCTGGTTTTAAGGGCTTAAATCCTTATTATCTGAGTAGGAGAGGGTTGGGGTTTTTTGCTTTTTAAACTGATGAAGAAATTAAATGTTTGTGGAAAATAGAACTTTCTCCCATAAAATCTTTTATTTTCGTACGAGTAGCTTTCAGTTAATTTCTGTAGGAATGATAATATCATAGTTTCTTTTTGGAGGAAGATTGGGATCTTTCACATCTAATTTCTTTCTTTAAAGTAAGTTAAGATAATAATTTAAAAAGTAGAAAAGCAAAAGAAGAACACTTCCTTCCTAAAAGTCAACAACAATCTGAGAAAAATTCTCTATGATTTGTCACATAAAACTTGTCTTTAATAATTTGATTTTTTGTGTAGAGTAATACCCTTTGCGGAGACAACAGAGAATGGGAGCTGAGATCTGCCAGGGTCTTCTGAGAGGATACTTTTAGTTCTGGCAGAGTCATGTCTTACTCTGTTAGGACTTTACCCAGACTCTCATTGATGTCAGTGAGAGTCTTCCTAATGCCTTTGTTGGATGCTGGGTTGGAATTAGTCTGCATATGGCATTTCCTTTCAAAGGCAAAGTACGTTTTTATTTGCCAAAGTTAACAAACAGCAGCAACAAAACCAATCGCTAAACACTTTGGGACTTGAGCCTTTAAATTCCATCTGTTAGATGGAATAGATCCACTCTACTGTGTTCTGAGCCAAATCTTGCAGACCTTCTACTGATTTTATTTACAGTGATGCATTTTATTTCAAGGAGAAGTATTACCTGAGTAAAATTTGAGGTAGGACTAATGGATTCACCCCAGAGACAGCAGAAGGATGTTCTTCACTTCTCAGACTTCTTTAGGAGATAATGGCAGTATTTAATAATGCAATGATAAAAGTTAATATTTTAATCCAATTCTTTAGTAAAATCCTGTGCATTTTACTCACTTAGGTGAGTGAAATTGCCAACATTTAACTTTCTACAATTTTAATTAATCTTTTGTTAGTGACAGATTATAATTTTAATCAGCAATATAGTATCAGTTTTATTGGAAATGTGTTCTGTCATGGACAGTTATACTACAGAATTGCAAGTGGTTGGAGAGGTTATTAGTATTTGGGTGGAAGAAAAATGAAACAAAAGAGCTTTGAAGCAACTACCTTTGCAGTGTGACTGCCTTTGTGTTGGGGGAGTGGATTTCCTGGTTTTAATGAGCTATTTAAGATCAGCGAGTTTTGTCAAAAACCTATTTTGCAAATAGTGACTATTGAAGAGTACTTTGGAGTAACAAGAAATGAGACATTTCAGACTTAGAAAACTTTTCATGAGATATAGCTTAACAATCCTGTTCTATCACACCCACTCTAGCAATTTTTGTGACTGGCCAAGTTTTGAGTTGGGGGAAGGGAACAGCTTTCCCATTGGTCATAAAATTCACAGAGTATTTCTTCTGAAGACAATAAAGCTAGGAGAAGGCCTCTTTATTTGCTGTGAAAATCATCACCCTTTCCGGCAATATAACTCCTGAAGAAAAGAGGGAGAAGGAAGAGACAAGACTGCATATCAAAGCAAAGTGAAGTGTTGAAAGGGTCTGTTGCCTCAATATGACAGATAGGCCTCAAAACCTCAGACAATGTAGCCCAGGAAAGGAAAAAAAAAAACCCCACCATCAGACCTCACAACTAGTTTACAAAGCAAAATAAATTAGCATTGGAACTAGCCCTGGCCCCTTTTTTTTTCAGTGCCTCCTCTCTTAACTTTTCAGGAATATTCTTCGTCCACTGAAACTGGCATCATTCATAAAATCCAGAAGCTACCTAATTTAGACAGAAGATGTCTTACTGTAGAATAGTGCTGGATTACTGTCGAATTACTTCAAAGTATTTATAATCTGGATTCCGTAGTTTAACATTGTTTCAGAGGGAGTTAATGTCTGTACTTTATGATGGAAGTTAGCTTAAGTCAGCTCAAAATGTGAAGCAGCTTTCTGACCTGAAGATATGCGCAGTTCAAATCTGCATCTGTATGTTAGTTCAGTATTAAGAGAGAGATTAGTGTTAGTTTTTGAGCTTATAAAGATACAGACTGTCAGACACCAGGCCCTAGAGTTTTGTTTTGGGACTGTCTCTAAATATTTATGCACTTGAAAGAAGGGCAAATTCTCCCTAGTGTAATTTCACTGGTTTAATTGAAGGTGTGAAGCAAAAGTGATTTTAAATAAGTCTTGAAGATGGACACTGTGCTGCACATGATGTTCTGTAAAGTTAAATAAATAACCCCCCCCCACACACACTGCCATTGTATTAGAAAATGTTACATGGATCCAATCCTGTATGAGTAATAATATTCCTGCCAGAAATCTTAGTGTGATGAGTAGGACTATTCATTATTGCAAAGTTGGATGCATAAAGGTTTGTGAAACATGGTGAAATTCTATGTTTGCATTTTCTGCTGGGTCTTGATCATTTGTTCTTGTTATACATGTCCAGATGACTCATGCTGAAAAGAACAGAACAGGATCCTAGAACTGGAACCTTTCAACAGACTTGAAGAATTTTCCTTTCTGTTCTGTTGACTTCTATTTAAAATGCTAATGTTTTCAAATTAGAATTTGTTCTGCTGTTCTATATTTGGCTCATTGGCCCAGTTCTGCCCTTCACTTTGCTAGTGTAAACTTTTCTGTTCATCATACAGAAGTAATTGACTCCAAAGCAGAATCATTTTTATCACCTTAAAATAATGAATGGACAGACTGCCCTGCATGGATTTTGTCTGGCAGAAGGACCCAACCCAACCAACGTACAGAAAATGTAGGTGGATTTCTATGTGGCAACATCAGGGGAAATCCCATTGCTAATGATCGTATAGACTAAAAAGCAAGTGATTAAATGATTTTTTTTCCAAATGTTGTATGCTCTTTAGGCATTCAGCATTTTGCGGGAATGGCTTCTCATGAGGCTTGTTTCTCTTCCTTAAATGTGAAGGAAATATAACTTCTTCCTTCTTCAAAGACTAGATGCTCTATGTTTAGAGTGCATTTAGTAATGATGTGATCAGCACCTGTGTCATCAGCATCAGAAAAACTGTCTTTATGTCTTCAGAGTAAATTTTTATTGAACAAGAATGATAGGAGAGTTGTCATCTACAAGAAAGGTCTCTGCTCATAATTAGATTATCTCTGTTTCAAAACTTGTTCCCTCCCTGTTTTATGGTAACATAAATGGAGACCTTAAGATGTGCTTTCAGCTTTATGAACAAATTCTCATTGCTGCTGGAACTGCCTGGTGGTTAACTGTTCAAATTCATTGTTTTGGGCACAGTTTTACCACAGATGTATGTTGTTTCTCACAAGGGCAAAAAGTAAAGTCTACTCCTGTGTGAATGATTGCATACCTCCAGAAAAATACTGAAATCAACGGGAGGGGATTTGTAACTTGTTCTAAGGTTGTTTTATTCTACTTTCCATCAAAGAATTTGCCAGTTATTATGCTTTGTGTGTGTGGAATTGCCACCTCAATTCCCTAGTTGTCGTTGCTTTGTTCTGTCTTCTGTTACAATTGCTAGTTGCTGTGGCTTTGCTCTCCCTTTTGAAGTGGGCATTTAGGAGAGGGGACAGGACCAGTATAAGGGTTAGAGAGGGGTCTTTCTCAATTCGTGTTCTTGGTTGAAAATGCAAGTAGTCAGTGTTTCCTCCTTCGGGTGTTGTGAGTCAAAACACATTTGCTTTCTCCCGTATCCTGAACACCCTCAAGAATGCAGTGACTAGGCATTGGATCCTATGTGCGCTGCATTTAGGATCAAGTCCCCATCCCTCCAGTTCCAAAGCTGCAGGGAGAGATGTTCAGACATCCTTCATCTGAGAGAGTGTGATGAATGAAAGCCTTAGTAGGGTTTTTTTTTTTTTCTGCAGGAAATGCATTCCGGTAATACTAGACCAGAATGACAGTCCCGTATTAAATACTGAGATCTTTCACTGGTCTCAAGTAGCATAACCTCATGAACTTCACTTAACACCAGTTGAAGACAAGGTTTTATATTGGATGTTGTTTTTAAAGTTACAGAGTAAGACTTGAAATAATTTCTTCCTTTGTTCCAGGTTAGTTGTATAGATGACAGAGTATCAGAAGACCTGTAGGGCATGAGGCAGTGGTAGAAATTTCAATAAAGTGTTTTGTTTGTCATCTGTCAGGTCATGAGGCCACAAATCACCAATAAGAGAAGCTAACCAAGAAATCTCTGGAGATGGAAATGTCATTGATTCTGGGCCTTGTTTCTGTAGCTGTTACAAGTCAGACTACTCGATGTAAGTAAACCTTTGGGAAGAATTTCTCCTGATCTTAAAGGGGTAAGATTACAGGAACATTTCATGCACACTTTCAAGAATATCATGTAAAAACCACTTGCCTTAATAATTATTGTTTCCATAGTGAACTAATATTATTATTGATAACTAGTATTTTGCCACAAGCCGTGAGCAAATAATAAAATTAGTCTAATTAATTTCTGTTCTGATTACTTCAGGTAAGTCTGAGCCTCAGTTTTTCCATCTTCAAGAATAGTGGCTCGTACCTATTTCACAGGGAATAAGGAAAGCTAATAAATAGGTGTTCCTGGCCTAGCAAAAAAAATAAGAGGGAAAGAAGCAGCAGGAGAATTACGTGTCTGGATTTTACCCTAAAGCATGACCCAGTACTTATTAAATGAATGGTTAGGCTCCCACTAACTTCAGAGGGCCTTACACTGGCCCATGGGCATTTGGGAGGATATGCTCCCGTGACATGCTCATCTCTTCAATTCTTCTTGAGATGAAGATGCTCAGTATCTTGTTGGACTATTCCAGAATGGAGAAACTTCCAGCACCTTCTGTGAATGATCTGACTCTTGCAGGTTTGAAATTTGGATGATTAGAAAGCCCTAAGCATGCTTCTTAAGCAGGCAGTTAGAATGTTGTTGTCTATTATAAATATATATCTCTCACAGTGTCCCCACTATAAAAGGAACAGCACAGACAGATCAAATCAGGTCTTTCTGTCAGAGAGGCTGCAGTTTAAATCCACAGGAGCAAGAGGCCAGTAGGTAAAGAACAGATGAGAAGTAGTGGGTTTTTTGAGCAAGTATTCTGCCAACTGTAAATCGTATAGTTTGTGAGCAATTTCATTGCCCTTGTAAGGACTACTCAGAAGTAAGCTGTAAGTTTTTGCAAGACTGGCCCTCTTTTGTGTTTTCTTGCATAGTAGTCAGTGAAGAACAAATATGATTTTAAAAAACCCAACTACTCCTTTTTTTATTTTTTTTTATTTTTATTTGCCAAAATTTTTACGCACCCAGAGTAACAACCTACTCTGATTGTCCTATTGACTTCCTTGTAAGGACTACTCAGAAGTAAGCTGTAAGTTTTTGCAAGACTGGCCCTCTTTTGTGTTTTCTTGCATAGTAGTCAGTGAAGAACAAATATGATTTTAAAAAACCCAACTACTCCTTTTTTTATTTTTTTTTATTTTTATTTGCCAAAATTTTTACGCACCCAGAGTAACAACCTACTCTGATTGTCCTATTGACTTC